TCAGTGACAGCCCCTGTGTGTCGGCAATGTTTCTTCCAGGGCACAAAACATCTGCAGCAGCTCCAAGTATCGGGTCCTCAAACGGTAGCTCCTCAACTTCACCCACAGCAGAGGGTTTCACCTCAGGTCTCTCTCTTCTTAGGCAGGAAGATCTTCCCCAGAAACTCCACATTAAGTGTCAATTTACGTTTCACTCGCCAGTCTTGTGTCACATGCCTAACCCTATACCGATCACTGGCAAAAAGGAGTTGGCTTAGTACATCAAATGATGATTCAGTCCCTGAGGCTGGACACAGCCACCTCTACTAGCAGAGGAAAGGAGGATCTGGCTGTTGGGCGAGCAGCCAGGAGTGTCTGCTCCAACTACTGGGAATGTGTGGATTGTCTCCCAGGACACAGTAAATTTTACAAAAGCCATAATAAGTAACAATAACAGAATAAGGACAGGAGGGTTATTCCCACATATGTTATGAGGCATGAGTAAGTTCTCATTTTCAAACAGAAATGTCCATGATCCAGAATGTCCCATTTCCCGGGAGTTCTAGGTATCTTAGGTGATTTGTACTCTTAGTCATTTGTACTCACTCACTGCATAGCATGATAAGCACAGGGGGAGCCCAATAAATCTTATTTAAAGACTGAGACTGATCAAGGAGTTAAGCTGCATTATTATTGCAAACTTTTCTTTCCTGGCAGGATTCAGTAACCCATATCTACAGAAATAAGGAGAGATGCTTATAAAATACGAAAGTGATGCAATGCCCTTAACTTGTGAAGCCCACTCACTGTTCGCCCCTATTCAAGGGCCCAAAAATGTCTTGCTTGGCAGGTTAGTCCACTCTCAGCTTGTAAATCACAAGCTCAGAGCCTAGCCTAGCTGACCAGCCGATCTTGTGCTTTTTCTTCCTTATTTACTTATGTATTAATTACAATGCAGGTCTTAAGAGTCATTTCTCAACTGAAAATTTTTTTCATTTATTATTTAACATAAACTTTCCAAAAACCTTTTCTAAAGTGTTGAACAAGATGACCTCATTGAATTCTCTCCCCATCACTGTCACCTTATAGGACTTACCACCAGCTGAAATTGCCTTATTTGTTTAGTTGCTTAATGTCTGTCTCCCCTCCCCTACATGGATGACCCATAAGAACAGGGATTTGTCTACATCTTTCATTGTCAAACCCCCGATGACAAGAACAGTACCTGCCCAGAGTGGCCCACAATAAATGCTGGATAAGTGAATGAATAAATCCTTAAGTTGAACAGTGTTTAAGGTCAAATATAAATGTCTTAATACTAGTTTTGTCTGTCACTTTTAGGGTTTTGTACCTCGCTCTGGTTCATACCTCTAAGAAATCAATCAGAAAATGAGAATTTCCCCATTCAGTTGGAAGTATTACTAAGTGCCCTTTCTGCAAAACCCTTTTAATTTCATCTGCTTATTTAATTGATAAGATTACATTCAATCAAGGCAGACTGAGGGAATATTTTCAGATGCTTTGAATTTCCTGCACAATGCCTACTTGTTTTTCTTCCTGGATCTTATCAAACTGGGAAATGTTTCCTATCTGAGTACCAGAGATAGCCTGAGAAAGTACCGTCTAAGGTCTTTGTCACTTTAGGGATCTTTGGGAACTATATCTTTATTTCTCCTGCACTCCACTTCACCTTCATTTAGAAAATCTTTTTATTTTCCAGCTGACTTCTCATGGTTTGAAAATGTCTCACAATGAAAAGTCAAGAAAGGGGAAAAAAAGAGAAAGAATAAGAAGAGTTACAGTGAATGCCAATGAGAAAATTACCATTTTTATTGTTCTCTCTGTTCTGCAATGGGAAGATATAATCCCGTGAACTGACTTCTCTTCATCCCACTCTCTCTGGAATGTGCTTTGCAAGAGTGTGGCGGTGGGACCTCATCCTGGTCTTTTTATCCTCACTATTGTTTGCGCAACTAGTAACAGAAAAATCTTCTCAGAAACCCAGAGCCAAGTAAGTACATCAAACTTTATTCTAGTAAATGTGGCAAGATAAATCCATTAAAATGGTAGAAATGACTAACCACAGTGCCACACATGAACTCTCCTTTTATAAGTTGTTGTCAGCATATATTTATGTCCACTCATTAATGTATTCTTCCTTTACAAGTTATTGTTTTCTGAAATCTTGTTCAGAAAGAGATTGCCTATAACAATTTACATTTGTCTACGTATTGGTTCATTTTCTGTTGCTTATGGCAGAATACCTGAAACGAGGTTATTCATAAAGGAATTAAATTTATTTCTTACAGTTCTGGAGGCTGGAAAGTCCACCATCCAGGGGTGCTTCTGGTGAGGGCCTTCTTCTTAGTGGGAACTGTCTAAAGAATCCCGTGGTGACCAGGGTGTCACATGACAAATACGGGCTGAGCAAGAGAGCTAACACTCTCACTCACTGTCTTTATAAAGCCATCACGACCATATCCATTACTCCAAAAATGGATCAATCTATTTATGAGAGTACAGTCCTCACAATCTAATCACCTTGGCAGGCTGGTTAGCTCAGTCAGTCAGAGCACAGTGTTATAACACCGAGGTCGGGGTTCAGATCCCCGAGCCAGCCAGCTGCCCCCCACCAAAAGAAAAAAAAAGCCCTGTGAAGTAGTGATAACAATGATCATTCCCATTTTTTAAAAATAAAAATAAATAATAAAAGCCCCACCTTGCAATTACCCTAATAGAATTTCCCACCCTCTTAACACTTATGATGGAGAGCAAGTTTCCAATACATGACACACATATTTGTATTTGGGGCTGTATTTGAGGTGACACATCTCACCCACAGCAGTTTATATTTGCTTCATTTTTACTATCATGTCATGTACTAATTGGGTGATAATGATTATGATGTTAAAAGTACAATCGTTTACTTAGCATTATTTTGGTCCAGACTCTGTTTAGTCCTCACAACTACCTTTGAAAATGAGGAATTATCATCTCCATTTTACAGACGAGGAAACTAAAGTTTATAAGGTCACGTGCCCAAGGTCACACAGTTAATAAGCCTCAAAACTTGGATTTGAATCCAGAGAACTGTGGCTGGAAGCCCTGCCTTCTCCAGTATACCAGGCTTAGGCCCCAGGATGACGCTTCCATTTACAGAGCACTCGCCAAGTGCCCCCACACAGGGCTGAGCCCTTTAGCTAAATTATTTATTCTTCAAAACAAACTTACAAGGTGGGTATTATTCCCATTTCACCACAAGAAAACTGAACATAGAAGTTAAATAACTTGGGGCCGGCCCGGTGGCGCACTGGATAAGTGCGCCGCTTGGGAAGCACGGCAGCGCTCCCGCCCGAGGGTTCGGATCCCACATACAGACCAGTTCCCGCTCACTGGCTGAGCGAGGCGCGGGGGCAACACCGAGGGTTGCAATCCCGTTGCCAGTCCCCGGTCCGGCGCG